ACCCTCCAGCCTGACAGTATGTTCTTCTTAGTCATTCCAACTCGGCGAGCCTTGGCGTAGGCCCTGATGAAATTGACCTTGTCCATCGGAGCGGATAGTCTGGGGCAGATAAACTCTTTCAAGCCATTCAATGCCTATGTGGTTATTAGTCCACCCATTGGGCGAAGTTATGTAATACCAGTCTGCTATGATAGCAGACTGGTCAACAAATAAATGAAATCAAATAATTTCAAATCAAATCAAATCAAATCAAATCAAATCGAGTCGAAATGAACTTAAATCAAATCAAATTGCAGGAGCCGAATTTATTTGGATATCTGGATTCATTTGGATAGAAGCACTGACCAATCATTGCTGGTACTGTAGCCCCAGGTTGACCCACTCCGTACCAACTCGTCCGTCGCGTTTCGAGTTGCCTGACGAAGCCACCTGCCCCCACACCCTCGCTCCCAATGGCTCCGTCTACGAATCCCGACATCTCAGCTGCGCTGTTTTCAACAAGCTCTACAGCCAACAGCGACCCCGATATAGCGACTAGCTTCAATCGATCCGATGACAATACAGAAGCGAATGTGGACATTCTTCGACAGCTCACTTAGGGTACGAAGGCATCGATTGGCATCGCCTCCTAGGGTATTTATCCAGTAACTTAAACAAAGAAGAAGGCAGCGGAAGGCAGCGGAAGGCAGCGGACAGGATGGGTATGGGAGCATGGATACGATATCGAGAAAGACAGTTCCGGTCACGGTTTCTGACTCTGCAAAGAGTGTCACCAGACAAAGGCTGCCATCACCCACATGTACGATGCTGCGTCAGTACTAGCTTCTCCGACGACGGCAGTATCCACGCTTGTCACGAATGGCAATTGACCTGTTTTCAGTTCCCGTGATGTCTTCTGAGCCGGAACGGATATTTCGTCTTGCATGGCAGATGGCCACGCCTCCGAGAAGACGGCTGCAAGCAGATATTGTCGGAGCAGCGCGGTGCATCTCATTGTGGGACAAAAGTGGGGCCATTGAGGAATCCAAATAAATCCAAGTAAATCCAAATGTGCCCAATTGAATTCAAATCAAATTCAAATCGAGTCGTCCGTATCCAAATCAAATCCAACTAAGGTCAATTTGATTTGGATTTATTTATTGACAAGCCTGCACTAGCGCCCGCGATATCTTCTTGCAGGCGAATGGACTCTTCCAACTCGGTCACTCCCGGCTGGTTGACTGCCTGGACAGTCCTATAGCCATATTGACCATCGGTTCCTATATTGTCCTCTTTGGGCGGCGTGGCTGGTACACAAATTATGTCGCGAATCTCGTGCCCATTTTCCAGTTTGATGTCCTCAGAGCAGTACGTCAACTCTGGACAAATTCCATCCACCTCGTAGGGATCTCCATGCTCATTCTGACACTGGTCTTGGAATTGCCTCGGACCTACATCGTTCAGACAACTACGCCAGAACCAATGACTGTCATGGTCGCAGCCGTGGTCGGCTGGAACTCGCTGATGGAGAGCGTTTCCCACGTCTCGCTTGGACGTTCCATTTACAGGATGAGCTTTGAAATAAGCAAGCACTTCGTCGATGAATTCCTGTGGAATTGAATCGCTTTCATCAGAACGTACGACTTCGGCAGGCGATGCATTGGCAATGGCCAGAAAGGCGGCGGCTCCCGCCAGAGTTTCAGAATGATGTTGACCATGGTAACAGGCTGGTAGACTGGGAGACTATTTTGAAAAGTGTAGATGTAAACCGTATGAATGAGCAGAGGCTTGAGCTTGGGCAGTATTGAAAGGGGATAGGAAGGTGAGCTTTATAGATTTTGGGGAAGCCAGCTTCGAGCATTTGTCCTGTTGCTTGTGGAGACATGAGCAGTTTAAGACGATGACCCCAAAAAGGAAGGTTTTGATTTTTGGCACAGGAAACTTTGCAAGCTGCCGTACTATTGCCTCGTATTCATCGCGACGGCTTTCCAGCTAAACCTTTTGCTGGAATCCGGCCGCAAAAGTCCCCAACCGTGCCGGATGACAAGGGCCTCTTTCATGAGGTCAATGACTTCTCCTACCGCCATCCCAGTCACGCCAATTGAGAAGGCTGATTTCTCATGTCATCTAACCCATCTCCCTGACTCAGAATGAAAGAAGAGCGAGCTGGGAGGTTGTTGAACAGAACATGCACACCCCTCTCAGGCGTCTTTTCTGCTTGGCCCCGTCAGCTATAGGAGATTTTGACCTCCATTGACAGGTACAGGTAAGATCCTGTTGAGATCGTGTGACTAAGGTGGTCCGATCCGCTGGCGGCTGGGATGTGGATACTGACGTGTTGTTGAAAAACTGGGAATCCCCTTTATCTTCAGGATCCAGACTGTTCGTCTGAAAGTCCTAGATTTAAAGTTCAAAGTCCTAGATGAAATCATCTAGAGATATAAACCCAAGAACTCTCATCTCAATAATGAACAACGAAGTTTCATAAAAATATATTTTCACCCAGCACTACTGCGCAGTATAAACAACACTGTTTAATGGTTAAATTACGACTTCACCACTCCGTACTCCCCAGATCAAAGGAGCAATATGCCAGGGCAAGCGCCGAGGTAGCTATTAATTCCGCCTTTAAAGATGACTTTTGCGTTTTGGATTCGAATGACGGTTATGGCAATGAATCAACTATGTTCTCAAGGACCAGCTGACCACTCAACGGCTTCACAGGCATGCGAAAAATAATAAGCAATTGAGTTGAACCATTCGGTCCGAATTCCAGTTACGGAAGTTAAAAAAGCCGATTGTACCGATAACTAATTGGGCTAAGCTAGTGTGATCATGGCATGAAGGAGACGTTAGCAATAAATGCCGGACCTAGAGGCGCAGGGCCGAGTTGGCTAATCTCCCTGCATAGTCAACTCATTGTCGCTGTTAATAGAATCAATACGAGGCTGTACCAGGGTATGCGATTGTTTCTGCTTCAAACTAGTAAACCTGTCTCCCAAATTGACAGAATCAAAGAGCTCGTACAGTTGTTGTTTATATTGCGCAGTAGTGCTGGGTGAAAATGTATATTTTATGAGACTTGGTTATTCATTATTGAGATGAGAGCTCTTCTCGGGTTTATA